TACAGGGTTTAATGTAATTTTCAAGGACTAAAATAATAGCAAAAAATTGGGCCCAGGCCAGCCCTTGAAGGAGCCCAGTGGAGGGTCCGGGCCCTCCTCCTTAGGCCTGGTCCCGTTTTGGACCAGGCCTCCTAGGACCAGTTTTCTCAAGGATCGGTCCTAGGACCGATTTTAGAACTGGCTTTTTGGCCCGGTCCAAATGCCCACTCTATGCAGTTGTACACAAGTATATCGTCCGTTCACACATGCCAATAGGCCCATACCATACCATGTCTCCACGGTGAATAATTGCAGACTCTTGAAAACCCTCTTCAAGGCAGGCAGAGAAGCTTTCATCAAAACAAATCTTTATCTGGAATTTAAAATTATATGCTAAAAGTTTGGTAAAACCCAAATGAGAACCAATAGATAAATTTGAAAAAGTAGGATTGATGAATATATAACCATCGGTAATCATCAGACGGATAACATATTATGCCTTTTCTTTTTCAATATACTACATAGAAGCTAACCACACCTCCCCCCCCCCCCCCCCCCCCCCCAAAAAAAAAAAAAAAAACAATTCTAATCAGTTGATTAGGCAAGATATAATTTCTGACTACCAAGAAATTTGCTCACCGAATCAACTGGTCCTCTAAATTACTTTTTGACCAAAATGAAAGATCTGTAACTGTTTTTTCATGTTTCCTATCTTACCCATATTTCTTCTGTTTTCGCTTGAAAAGTTGTCATTTGCAATGCGTTGGCATGTCTATTGAAGTGTCACCTGAAAAATAACTCCTTCAAGATTTCCAACAGCAGAACGAGTTCCGGCTATTCATTTATCACATTCCATGACGAGTAGCTTCACTGATAACCATTGTGTCCATCCTCCCACAATATAATTGAATAATATAAGATTACATTGCAAAGTTATGTTTAGTGCCTCTGAAATAACTTGGTATTAATAATATTGAAATGATCATATACTGTAAAGTCAAACAGCTCAAAATCTGAGTAAAGTGTAATCCAACAAGAATATTGACTTTAATATTTATATTCATAATTTAAAGAGAACAATTTTCAAAACGATGATAAATGTTAGTGATAGAAGTACTAGCATGGTTTAAGAGCTTTTACCAATAAAGAAATTAGTACCAAAGAATTTTGCTTCGCTGGTTGAGGCATGTAGATAAATTCTAAATAATGATATTCCAAAAAAAGAGGCAACCACAATGCAAGACTCTAATGGTAATGGTACATAGAAGTTATACAGAAGGATCTTGAACATACACAGAAACCTCTGTACAGCATAATCAAAGAAGCATTAGCTATGGCATCATCCAGAATTTCGTAAAAATAATGTTTTACCAACTAGAATTCTAAAGCTTCAAGAGTTAACAACTGGAAAATATGTACTTTCAGAAGGTTTTTGCAAAAATTCAAATACATTTTTTTCTTTTAAACTTTTATTCCAAATATGGCATTCTGTTTTGTATTAAATTCAGGTAAATTGCAAAGACAATATAAACCCTAACATAAGCAGTGCATAATTTATTTTGTTCATTTCATTCAACAATGTGAACCAATTAAAGCATTTGAGTCAAATCAGTTTAAAATATCTACACTTTCAACAATTAAACACATCAAATCAGTATCTGGAAAGGTATTCTGCATAAATGTCAAGGCTATGTTCCTTGATAAAATGAAACACATGATTGCTATATTATTACCATTAAAACATAAATGACCTAAAACAGATCCAATGAGAGGAAACCTATATGTCCAATTTCGAGATGGAAAAAAAAGAATTTGAAGGTACGTACATCTTTCTCGATACATAGGCTAGAATGTTGCACTGTCCTTTTCCCGATGCGGAAAAATTGTTCTACATTGCAAATAGTGGGGGAATGCTCACTGTTGAAGCTTATACACTGTCAAGGGAAGTTTAGCACAACCTAAAGGATGCAGGGCAAAAGGCAAAGAGAAAGCAAATTCTTTTTATTGAAAATAGATATGTATATTTGGTAAATAGATTGACAAGCATGTAATCAGAACATTTAGCAGATCTGTTAAAGTGGATATAGTGCATGATCATCATGTCGTGTGAAACACACAAAAAATTGGAGACAATTGCAGATGTTGGTTTCACTTTATTCTAGCAACTGACTCTACTCCCATTTGATTCGTATTGAAAGCTTTATCAATCTTAGGCTCAGAGAACCATTTATATTTATGACTATTTTTGCTCCTATTTGAGTATATATTCTTCAGAAAACGAGTTAATAACATAAATAATCTGGGACACCGTATAAATGTCAGCTCCAGAATAGATCAAATCCTCCATATTTGTGTAAAATTGGTTGATCTGATCAGAATTTCCCCATTCTAGCTTCTCAACTCCAATCCTGCATAAAGGAAACAACCAGACATCAGCTCTACAATATTTTTGTTCCTAATTAGATTCTTTTCCCACCAGCTTTCAACTGATTTTCCATAGAGTATGGAGATCTATATTTTTCTTCAGTATCTGAAAATGTATGGATAACTAAAATAGTCAAAATTAAGAAAATTACAGATGAAGCCGCCAACTTTTCTAGTTTAATTTTTTGAACTTGCCTTGAGCACTTCATCTTAGGCAGTTAAAACAACTTCACGGCAAAATCTGCTGCAGAGTATGCCAGTAATTCCTGTATTCCAGAAAGCAGCCATCAGACATGTCTTTTCTTCTACAGGAAACCAAGTAATGACCTCCAAGCCAAAAACGCTACCATGGTCAGACTAAAAAAGGGTCATTAAAGTGAGAGGTATTACGCATAAAAACAAGTAGAAAGGAATAAAGCATGGAAGGCTAAGGATTGCATTTGTCAACCATACACACTCTGAAGACACATTGATGACTCTAGTCTATTGTATGCTTTGCTTTCCCACTAAAGTTTTTCTTTTCATTTGTGTGTGTGCACACATAGTTACATTATACACAGCTAAATAAACCATATTGTCATCATGATCTTATATATGTATGTATGGATGACTGTAGAGTGGCAGGTGTTCATCGCCTACTAACTTTAAATCATGTAATATCATGTTTTCTGGATAATATGAAAACCCTATGAGTACCTGCGCACTAGGTAGAACAGTCATTTCTATCATTCTATAAATCTCCAAATATAATTATAAGATTATCTAGAAATTCAACTTTGTTCGCTAACCAATAATGAATACTTTGGATTTTCAGACAGTAAGTAGACAAGGCAACAGGTAATACTGTTGATAGAAAATTTACCAACACCAGCCTAATTCAATAATAGAAATCCTTGAAGCAGCTCAGCGTTTTTTGAGATGTAATCATTCAAAGCATAGCACCAGGCCACACCAATTGTCCGTCAAATCAAAATCAGCTGTTCCACAAATGGTTAGATCGTTTACTCCACTCTAATCATTTATCAATTACATACATTGCAAGAAATGTAGTGAGATCACTCCACCCAGCGTAACATACGCTTTTCCATTGTACATCTAAGAACCATTAAACATATGATTAACTCTGACTAACAATTCAAACTCAAACTCTTGCCCTGTACAGGGAGATGTGGTTTTAGAAACAACTAGATCATTGTAATATTTCCACCGGCTATTGAAGTTAGCTCTGGCAAAAGATTGATTGTTCACGTCCAACATTGGTATCATTTAACCATATAATGAACTTTGGAAAATCGATAAAGGGTTACAGTTCTGTTTGAAGCACATCATGATCATACACGCAACACTTTGCCCCACTTCAACTCATGCCAGTTACCTACTAAAATCTACTTGAAGAAAAAACACTGCAACAATTGTTGTTTCTTAATCCAACGAACTAATTATCTCCATGTCACATGATTCCTGCAAATATGACATGGGTTCTTAACACAAACAAATAGTTTCTAGGTTTGTCGATTTGCCAGTTATTAGTCCACTATACTAAATCACATAAAGAATGAAAGCACGGAAAAAAAAAAAAAAAATTTGAATAACAAAGATATAAAGTTTTATTAGTTCATAGAAACAAACTCACTAGAAGCAGATTGGAGGCAAAAGAGTTGAAGAACTTGAGACCAAAAGTGAAAGGTGAGCTGGTAACTGCAGAAAGACAGAGTGGGTGAAGTGAACCAAAATCAATTTACATAAGAGGAATGATTAGACTTACTCGTCATTGATAAGAAAGTTCGTCTAAGCAAACAATTCTTCTTCTCTCTCCTCCTTTGTCTTCTCTGTTTCATTTGTGAGCCCAAAATGAGAATTTATGTTTTCAGCTGCTGACAGGCACGGTTTGAATGGGTGTGGGCATTTGGCCTTTAGACTTCCTAATATTCAACAAACGCGGGGGGTTAAAAAGTAATATTTTCATCTAGAATGTATCAGAAAAGATTTTACAAATCCTATTAAAAAAAGTGTACCCAACGGAAGCCTTCAATCTTAGGAATCCATACTTATATTTCCAGAATTGTTTTGATCAAATTAAGAGCGAATTCTAAAATCCCAATTTGATAAAGACTAACAAAAAGTGTTTAGAAGCATGGCAGTATATCCTTGATGGAATAAATCTGTCACGCACAAAACCATAAACTAGGGCATCTTGTGGTAACTAGGACATGTCCATTTTTAATTTGTTGATTCATATAATATAATTAATCTAGCCCCGTGACAATTAATTATATTTGGGATGCTTGATTCTGTTTGTGATCATCTGATAAATTGGATTACAAGGTCGAGTATCTACAAATCCCTTGAATGTCAAAAACATACTATGTAAAGACAGTGATTTGGCCTCATGTATTCTACTTCATATTCATAATACAAACCCTTTTGTCCCCACTCCCCACATGAATGCATTATTGACTTGGCATGCATTATAATATATCTTCTATCTTTGAACAATACTTTGGAATCTTGTGAAACCCTACTCCTCTTATATTAATATCACCTTTGCTTTCCTTTTATTCAGGAGCAAAACCCTCTCCACAATCATATATTCTACTATGGAAACTGATCATGATTCTTTCTATTTGACTGCACCCACCAGCCCCAAAAGACTCAGCATGGACGGTTTGTCTTTCTATAGTGCCCCAACTAGCCCTACTACAAAGCCTTTTAAATCTTTCTACGATCTTGAAACCGAGCCAACCACACCAAATCCCTATGAAGATGCAAATTCTGGTTTCATTGACTTCGAATTTGAAACCAGTCGTCGTTTTAATCTCCCCGATTATGATCATGACTTCGAAACGAGCCCGACTTTCGAGATGCCATGCTTGCAACAGAAGCAACAAGAGAAGGAGCACTGCAAAGGGTCATCACTTCCTGCCATGGCATTTGCTGATGAACTGTTTTGTAATGGGAAAGTCATGCCACTAAAGCTTCCTCCACGCCTTCAATATGGTAACAGTGTTGAAAATAACTCAACTTTCTCTTCACCAAGGTCCCCAAGTGGGAGGCTGAAATTCCCATTTCAACGTAGGAGCTTGTGGAATGATGATTTTGATCCTTTCATGGTGGCGTTGGAGACTGTCAAGCAGGAACAAAGAGAGAAAACTCATAGACGAGCTCGCTCTATGTCACCACTACGAGTCAGGGGCCCAGAAAAGCATGCTAATAGCTCAATTAGCTTCAAAAATCATCAGGACGTCAAGCAACCAAGACCGAATTTAGATGGCCAGATGGAGCTCAATGGCTCTGGGCCTTGTTCAATATGGGCTCCTAATCAGAAAGGGAATATGGGTCGACATGAACAGAGAAGTCCCATTAGGCTGGCTGAGCCCAAAGGAGTATTGTTTGCTCGACATGCGAGGCTTGTGAAAATGGGCCATGAAAAGCTGGGAAAGCCCAGCTTGAGAAATGGGCCTGAACCGGGCGAGACCCAAGAGGATCCTAAAGAAGGAACAAGGGGATCAAAGAGGGAAAAAATAAAGAAATTTCTACTCAAGAGTGCATCCATAGGGAGAAGAGGCAATGAGGAGAAGGCAAAAGATGAAAGTGAAACATTGCCCAAGAGAAGTTACACAAGGAAATTCAGCTTTAAGTCCATGAAATTAGCCCAATACAATGAAGAGAAAAGGGTGTCTGAAGTGACCAAAATGACAATAATGCAATACAGGCCTAAGCTATTTCTTTGCATGGGTAATGGGAGAAGGTATGCGGATTAACAGGTCTAGGACATAGTCAGTGCAGCTAAGAGATTCATTTTGTGTGTCTTTTTATGATACCGATTGTATCAAAGTAAACATCTTGAAATTTATTAAGGGTTAACAGCTAGTTGTTAACCTTAAGGTGGTACGTTGAAATAAAAATGGACACCTAGGAAAATGATTATCTATTTAAGTTATGAATTTAATATTAGTTTCTTGAGTTACAAATCTTGAATATTATCTATTAAATATGACAGTTAGTTTATTTAGATAAGCAAAAGCTGTATGGTAGGCAGATGGATCATACCAAATATTTCTGGACATTAATATTTGGTAATTAAATGCAGGATGGTCCAATTGATTAATTATGGATGTTCCTTGACAGTGAGGCAATACAAATTGATTAATGATAGGGAAGTAAAGTAAGCTATCTTTATTAATTGCACCTTTACTTTCTGGGACATTATTCATATCATTCAAAACTCTCTTCATAATAGCGGATCCCACCAAAAACAAGTTCAAACCCAAATGGTTCTTCTATATGTTACCGTTTTAGATCCTTGAATTACGGATATACTACACTCACAACCCAATATTACAAACTTTCTCTTATAAATTTAACGTGACAACTTGCAATGGTCAACTTATAATAGGTTCCCGTCTATACCCAGTAGCGCAACTGTGTCACACCGGGGTTGTAAGAGAAAATTTGTAAGATTGAATGGTGAGTGAGTCAATCTTTACCCTTGAATTATAGTCCAAAAGTTGACTGAATTATGATTTAATAGATTGAACCAGACTGTTACTTTATCTTTCAGTTATCATCCCAATCCTCTGACCTCCAAAACCAGTAAAAGCATCATTTCTTGATCCTCTAGTGGCAAGTTTTGAAGCTTATTATATGTGAAATAATCACATGGTTTTGCTTAGCAGAGTGAAAATTGTTTTAAATTTTTATTTGGTATTCTATCCCTTAACTTTGCTCAAAACATCAAAATATAATGTGTTGCTGCATTCTTAAAATAGATATATCAAAACAAAAAGTCACAACAGTAGAGCACAACTTGCTTTTCAAAAACATTTTCTGATGACCAGAAGTGGAGAATCAAGAGATAACCAACTAAAACCTTTTATATATTGTGGGGGTACAAGATGGTACATCAATGGGAGGCAATTCACATGGATTAGAATCCTATGAAAAAAGCATTAAATATCTCCCATGACAGATTTCTAAAGAAAAAGGTGAAGAACATGACCTCCACATTTAATGCAACAGAATCAGAAGCCTATCTTCAGCTTCTTAAAGATGCTTTTGAAAAGCTCGAATACAATAATCCACGTAATCACAAGAAAAAAATAGGTTCTGGGATCAAATCGTGGCAAAGTGTAGTATTCTTTTTGACAGAAAGCCTATTCCAAGACTTCCACAGGCCAAAGCCGTTTCCACGTGGAGATTTCCTCTTCGCTCTTAAGCTTTCTGATTCCCCCGTAAAATCCATCTGCCTCATTTCCCTCCTCCCTATGGTCTTTCCTACTTATCGTTGTTTTCCTCCACCGTGAGCCAGGGGTATACTGATTGAATTCCAGTACCACGATGTCTGTTACAACCAATGCAATATTAGAAATTCATGCTGTATCACAAAAATTCAACTATGAAATAATGCTTATAACCTTCATAGTTTTAGTTTTACAGCTGATGCCACTATAAATTACAGAGAAAGCAACATACTAAGCGTGTCCTATAGATTGCCAAGATCTTTTGACAAGTTGCTTGGCTCAAACAAACAATAAAATTATTGCTTCAATCTTTAAAAAAACTGAGTTATGCTATTAACAAATAGAAAACTGCAAAAGTGAGGGTCAATTAAATTCCTGTCCCACTAAAGAGTAAGATTATTTATGTGACATGGATATATACATTCCCTGTTTTGTCAAGTTGCAAGCAACAAAAAGAGATCCTTTGCTTTTTCTTTTATGATGAGGTAACGGATAGAAAATTTTCATTAGTGGGTCATGCTGAATGTGCTTTCCTTGAAAACAATTGTGCTCTAATTGTTTACAATGGCAAAAATAAAATAAATGAAAAATTGGGAGATGACAATAGCCAGTGCTGCCCCGCATAGCCGAAAGATGACCACTTCGCAAACAACAGAACATTGAGGAAACATTGAGTTCTTTCAGTGCGGTTGGCCATAAATATTCCACTGAGACATGAGTTATCATAATGTTGGTGGAAATTATGACACAGCGACAATGATTTGTCCTGGGGACCAATCAAATAGGCACAAAGAGTAATTGAGAAATAGGATTCAAGAAAATGACTACCCAAAACTGGGTCTCATCCATGAAAGTGAATTTTACATTCTACAATGGATGTGGTGCTTTCTCTTAAATATTCATATACACAGAACAAGAAGAAAAATTTATCACCTTAAAATGGTTTAGTCAATTTCTAAGATCACCAAGAAAGGGAAGATGCAGCAAAAACACAAGAAGATCTAGCAAAAACACAAGAAGATCTCCAACCACAATGTGTTGTTAAATTCCCAAAGTTCTGTTTCTTTCTACTTTATTATCTATGCAATCACATGGAGCATAAAGTGCGAATTGTAAGGGTAAAAGGTGAAATCAACTCACCACTATTATGACAACGGCAGAAATTTTCATTTCCATCACACGATTCTAAGTGACCTACAACACCATACCACCAACCTGCAAAGTATCTATGACGAAAATTAGAAAGCAGTAAATAATTACAAACATAAATCAAGAATCAATTAAAAATAAATTAGTTGTCCACTGCTATGGCTCTTTAGTGAGAAGTGCATTTTGTATGATGGATTTTTAGTTGACATGAGCATATCATTAAAAAAACAGCGTATAATGTTTTTGATGAAAATTTATAACACAATGATTAAGTTTAATCTGGCCATCTCTCATTGAAAGAAGATTATCCAACTATTTTGCAGTTTCTGCAGATTGCAAGAAATATGACACAGAAAATTGTTTTCTAGTGATCCAGTCATTTTTCAACATAATTTCTTTGCAACACTTCCTTTTTTTTCAACCAACCTCAAACCAATCCACATTCTGGGAAAAAACTCCAGAAGAAAACTCGACAAAAAGTCTTTGAAAACAAACAATTTAAGCTACTCAAATTGATCTATAAGACATTGATAGGCTGAAATGAAAGAAGCTAACAGAAAAAATAGTACATGAAACATACCATAAGGGAATTCTTTGTTTCTTCTCCACTGAATCTCAATATGATCACCTGGGTGTAACTCATTCAAGCAATCAGAGATGTGAAGATCATGAGGAGTAGTATCATTAGGTGGTGCTCTAAGCCTTTCCCATGGCACACCATGCTCTATTGCAATTACCCTCCTTCCATGAGGTGGATACCTGCAACACAAACCCAACTCTAAAAATCAACCCACCATAATACGAAATTTCCTAATTCTTAATCTTGTTTTCTAAAATTACCTGGCTTGAAAGGAGTCAGTGCGCGGATCATAGCTAAGCTCAGCATCATAGCATGACAACATAAACCCAACATGACCATTCTGCAAAAGACCCCAAAACAGAATTTGTTAAAACAAGTGAACACAACCCATCAAGTTACATCTTTTTGCAACTTTAAGAAGTAAAAATTCAATTTTGAAGCTTCAGAACAGATGATAACTATCTGGAGAGAAAAGGGTTGCTCGTGTTGCTATGTCTGTACCTCACGATTATAGACCTGAGCTGGGAACCAGAAACGGCCACTCTCAAGAGCAAGATACCAGGACATGATTGAATCAACAGGCAAAGAACTAGAACTCTTCTGATTGTAACTATCTCCCACCTTTAGTCTAAACCATGATAAGGATTGAACTATAGAGAAAAGCTTCATCCAAAGCTTTGGTTTACCCTGCTTAAGATTGGTAGAATCTTTTCTCGTAGCCATATGCCGCTGCCACTGCCTATAAGCAGCAGGGCCAATAATTCTACCCCATTTCTGCGTCATATGTTTCTCCCAAAGATGATCACTCATACAGCTATCTCTCAACGAACTACAAACACCAGCCATGCTACAAAGCCCTGAAGGAGGTAACTTTTCAAGAATACATTCCAAGACCAATTCAGGCAAGTCTAAAACTGACATCTCCCCACAACTTTCATCAACAAAATGATCAAGTTTAGAGGTGAAAGCCATGTTGTTTAGAGAGGGAATTGTAGAGAATTTAAAAGTATTCTTTATGGAGGCTGAAATGGAAAAGATTGACAAGTCTTTCCAAAACCAGAGAGACAATAATCTCATCTCAGTTGCCCATAGTGGAAATGGCTTTAGAGAAAGGGAATTTAAAAAGAGAATGAAAGAGAAACAAGAAATGAAGAAGTAAAGTAGCATTACAAAAGTGGTATTTTTTTTTAACGGCTCAAATTCAAGTTTGGCAAAAATGATAAGGCCAAAAGATTAATGAACGGGACGGAGGAACCCAATAGTAGAAAAGAAAATGGTAGAGAAGAGGAAACTAAAAAAGATTAATATTAAAAAAAATTAAAAAAAATTCATTTCTTTCTCTTCCTCTTGTTAATAATCAATCCCCTCTTTCAAGAGAAAAAACCAAAGTGCACATAAACACCTTAAAGTTACGGGTTTTTATTGGTTCAACAAAAGCCCACCAAACCCGGCAGTGGGCCTCCTGCTAGCAAAAGTCTAAATCAGAATAAAATGAATTGTATATGTAATTAACATATAAATTTGTGTATGTATATATATGTAGAAACCTTAATCAATAATCAATCAGCAAGCTTTGATGACAAAAACCAAATCTTGTATAAAACTAAATCTACAACATGAAAGGACGCTAAACTACTTAAAGGGCTCCATGTTCTTGTTTTAGTAATATATAAAAAAGAAAAAAAAATGGTTCACAGAAAATGGGGATAAGAAAATGAGTAAAATTGAATGAATCAAATGAAATGGGTAATGATTCAATAAAGAAGTGGGGTAGAGTGAGATCTGATAAGGGTCAATCTGACACCTTGAAATCCCAAGAAAATAAGTCTAGATACAAAGACCCATATCTCCAAAAATCTTTGAATTTTAGTTTAAGAAACAGAAACGTTTTAAAAAATACAATAAAATGAGAGGCACAGATCTGGGTAGGTGAGATTGAAATTGAGGCACAATTAGGTGCACCACCCAGCTCACACACTTACTAACACACAAACGCGAACACAAAAAAGACAAAGACAGAGAGATGGTGAAGATGATGATGATGACTATGATGAAGCGGAAATTGTGGGGTCAATTCACAACTCAGATCACCAAAATCTTCTTCACCAAATCTCAAATGATAACAAGAAGTTAATTTTCTTTGAGGCAAATTATCAAACAGATAGTGAACAAAAGTTAAGATAGATAGGGAGAGACTAAGAATACCAATAATGAGAAAGAAAGAAATGGGCGGTAACAGTTGAATGAGAAATTTGGAGGGTGTCTATCGATTTATCAATCTATTTTTGTGGATATGAAATGAAACCACCCAATTCACTATATTCCTCAAATATCTCCATCAATTCTATATACAAATCACATCCTCTCTCTCTCTTACAACTTGCCTGAAAAGACTCCCCCATGCCCTCTCTTCTAAAAATATCATAACACATATACATAATAAAATTAGGGTTTATAAAATAGATAAAAGGATAAAAGACTCCTCCTCCCCCATGCATTCTGACTATTTTTGTCCTTGTATCTTTCACTAAGGACAATTATGTTAAGTTTTGTAATTTTATCGTCAAATTTGTCCTTTAAACAAATCCTAGACATTTTGAAAATTAAAATTATTAATGTTTTTTCTTAACAAGTCCCCTTCTTTTTTTTTTTTTTTTTATCAAAAGAGAGTTGTAAGAAAAGAGATCCTTTTACTAACTAAACAATACATTTTAAAGATATTAAATATTTATCATAATCAATTTGTATGAAATAATTTGTTAAAAAAATTATATATAAAGTAGTATACCTAATAGCTTAGAAAATTAATTAATTAACTAATACACTATAATAATAATTGAACTTTTCTAAGTTTCAACCAAAAGAAATTGAAAATGTTGGTTTGACCCTCGCTAGCATAGACTGCAAGTGTTCATACTTTAAGCCATTATATTATTAATATTATTATTTAAATAAAAAAAGAGGGTCAACAGATAATTAAATTAATATTTGAATTTGGATATAAAATATATTCAGCCAAATTCTGGCTCTCAATTACAAGAAACTCAAGTACTTGTGGTACCATTTTATTAATTAGGTTATAAAATATATATTTAATATAATCACGATGACACAGAGGTTTCACATTGCCGACTTCAACAAATTAAAATTTTGACCCAATAAAAAAATAAAGAATATCAATATACATAAATTAGCTTTATATATATTAAGAGTAATACTACATTTACAACCCAATCTCATAAATTTTTTCTCACAATCCTGACGTGACAGCTTACAATTAGTTATCTTAATAGATCACGCTTGCTCGTTGTGGGTCTCATCTACCAAATTGCGAACTGTCACGTAAAAGTTATAATAGAAATTGTATAAGATTAGGTTGTAAGTCAATCTTTATCCATATTTTAATAATTTTGATATTATTGTTTATATTAAACAATTATTTCACCAAAAAGTTTGAATTAATAGATTAAAAATTAATATTTATATTCAATGATTTAAGATGCGAGGAAATTAAAACTTTAAGTTAAAATTTAACATCGATATTTAAAGTGCTTGGATATAAACAAAGTAATCAATAATTAATATAAAGGGAAAGGGGATTCAATTAAATTCATAATTAATTAATTAAAAAGATTAAATAGTTGATAAGGTGAGGTTTTGTAGATCTTAAAGTGCACCTAAGACGGTGGAGAGTATTAAAAGGCACCCATCTAATTAATAATTTAGTTTTAGATCAATGTTCACATTGTCTCACTCTTACTGTATTCAAATTAGATCAATAATGGAAACCAGGCAGGATTAAGCTAAGATTATCTTAATTAATTCTGTACATCTTCTCGACTAATGAAATATATAATAATAAAGGGACTAATTGACCAATCAAACCAAGTTAATGTGCTTTTAATCATCAAATAAGAATGTGCCACCATTCAGCTCATTATTCATGCATTATATTTTGCGACATGTTTATTTGGTTCCTTTTAAGATTAGAACAAAACTTTATTTTATTGTTGTTTGTTGAAGCGGAAGTTGTGTTGATTAAATTTGTAAGATTATATTTTAATAATGTGGTTGGACTTAGAGAAATTGTAATATTTTGTGAGAAAACGACGTATGTTATATTGACATTAAATGAAGACCTGGCAAAACGGGTATTGCACCTGCGGATCCACTTGTATCGGGGTAATTTTTACGGGTATGGGTTAATATGTTTATGATCTATATAAACAGTATCTATACTCGACCCACCCATTATTTTTTAGGGTGGACCGGGTGTTATCTATGGGTATCCGTAAAAAAATAAGAAAAAAAATGAGAAAACATAGCTAAGCCCTAACTCCTCCAACCCAAGTCTCATCTCATTTCATCTCTAAGGGAAAGCTGCCGTCGTCGCATGCCCTGACTGTCTCATTATCTCCTTCGTCGATGCCTCCACTACCACCTTTGCCACCGTTTCAAATGCCCTAGTACAGTCAAAATATTGTCGCCATGACCAGTGCCCCATACATCTACAACATGAGCCAACCACCACCCCCTACCATGCCTGGTTATCCAAGAGTTGCGGCTCCAATACGGGCATGTCTCATTTTGCAACACCTCCAACAAATCCTTATCAAAGTTTTCAAGGTTCTAATGGTAATTTCTATAGTCAACCATCATCAATGCCAATGGCGCCAATGTCTCAACAGTCGGGGCTGCTCTGATAGGCTTTGCTGGGCAACATGCGACACCTCTTCTTGATAACTTATGAAGCCATGTTGTGAGCTTGACACTAGAATCCCTATTGTTTGTGTCTATTATTATACAACCTAATTTAGAATTGCACATAGTGAATGTTTGTAACTTAAGTTTTGAATTGGTTTTAGATTTGACGTTACCAAAAATCAATTGCATTGTTGAATTCAAAAAAGGGATTTAATTCATGTTTAGACCATCATTTTTGTTTAATGTCTACTTAATGCCTAGTCGTTTGTCTATTGGTGGTGAAAACTGCTATAAATGTGATTAAACGATGATCCATGAAAAGACATCATAATATCAATAGAGATTTAATGATATTTTCTTATTTCTTCTTGTTTTAAGATGACATTTGTTACATTATATATTAAATGATATTTGCTTTAAAAAGTGAAAACAGATTTGGGAAACGGGTGACCTGCAGGTCATACCCACATGACCAGGTATGGGTTCTATATCCCCTTACTCGTTGACAGTGGCGGATCCAGAATTTTTATCGAGGGGGGGCCTCTGCGGCTCTGCCATTATTTGCTAAATAATTAGTGAAAACTTTAAAAAATACCAAACCTTAATAAAAAAAAATAATACAATATTAAGAACCTGAGAAAAAAGAATATACAATAACATAATATTTTCTTACTTGAATAAATCTATGGAAGCAAAATTTTGAGTAAAAGTGTTGAGTAAACCTTGAACAAAACCTTCTTTTAATATTTTTATTTTTGGCTTTCAAAGATTATAATATAAATTTTCATAGCGTTGATCAAACCTAGCCTAATTAAGCTAAAGTCAACCAAAACGTATATTAAATCAACGTTACGTTGATTTTTAATATGAATTAATAAAAAAGGGGAATTTTTTTTAGTATAAAAATAGATAATAACTCAAATTTCTTTAATAATTTTGAACAACTGAATGGTGACGTTTAAAATGTAGGAAAGTGGTAGGTGAAAGATGAAGAATAACGTCTTTTAAAATATAGTTTAGGTTTTTATTTAAGAAAACAGATTCATTCTTAGACAGAAAATACAAAATAAACTCACAAGATTAATATCTTTTTCTCTCAAATTAGAATAAAAAACCTCAAAGGGAAAAAAAATGATTCAATCCTTAAATAAACTAAACTGAAATGAACAATACATATACCTAAAATTGATAAAACAGAAAACAGAGCAAATAATGACATTTTGAGTAGTGAAAATTTAACAATTTCAGTCTTCAAAAATTTTAAGAGCGAATAACATGAGAAAGCGAAAGAGAGAGTAAAGAATTTGAGGATAAAATCATAAAAAATAGGTAAAGCTGTATAGAAAAATACTGGAGAGAGTTTTAAACTTTAAACATGATGTGGGCTTGGAATATATATAAAAGAAGTTTTTTTGTAGACCTAGATATATAGTATGTATAATAGTTCTTATTTTTAAAAAATCTAAAGATGAGTCTGAGTATATATGTTAATTAACAATTTTTTATGATCTGTATATTAATAAATTTTTGTTCAAATCTGAGGCCTATCCTCAAAGAGGTTGAAGCCGCCCCTGCCCGTTGATAATCTCAACCCATACCCGTTTAACCCACCCCGCCCATTTGGCAGGTCTAGTCAAATGGTTAGTTGATTTTTGTTTTTGTTAATTTAAAGAGATTCTGAAACAGATAAAAAAATATACCTTTCTTAAAGGACTATGATAGGATAAGGTTAGACCCACCTGGCCTTACCCTTTTGGAAGATTGATTGACACCTAAAAAAGCAACATTTTATTGTGCGGTAGCTCATTAAAATGCTCAATTGTTGTATCATAATCTGAAAAATAGTATTCCGGTGATCATAATATTAGGGTAATATAATTAAATTGGTTGAAATGATCATAGGTAACAAGATAAGTATTGTGATTAATATACCTTCGATCTGTTTAAATTTGACTTATTTAAAGGATATATGTTAAATTGATATATTTATTACTCAATATGTTCAAGAAAAAAAGATGATGGATTATTGTTAGGGAAAATTCCATTGATTTCTTTAATGAATTATTATGGAACCTACATTATTAGTGTAGTAATGGAGAATGAACCGAACCTTGTTGAAATTGGGTGTGTGGGGGACTAAACAATTTGAGGGCATTGCGCTTGGCATGTTGCCAAGTGGCATCATCTAGGAATCTTATCTATTTAGTGGATATACTTTCTTGAATTGAACAACTCTTACTCACCCATTCATTAGCTTTTATTCAACACTCTCTCTATCTCCATAGGTCATGGAGCAAATAGGCATATAAAAATTGATGGATTAAAAGGCACACTGAAGGCATATTCCTTTTGGTTACTTTTGATGCTTGTCTCCTAAAGTTTAAGCATTTCATCCATCAAAGTTTTCATCAATTGCCCCACTTCTATAATTTTTCAATTCATATATAAATTATCCCTTCTCTCTTTCTCTTTCATTTATCTCACTTTCCATTCTCATGTGGACACGCACTTACGTGTAAATTTATGCAAGTTATCAATTTTCCCTTTTTTTTTTTTTTTGTGATATTTAACGAATATTAAAATTTAGAATAGATGGCCTTAGCGTATGTTTTAAGGAGCAAATCAAGGCCCTTAAAGTAACAAATTCTGATGATATTAATATGTGAAACTAGTGTTTCCATATATTTTTTCATAA